GAAAACAATAGATTTCTTGCTTCTGCCACAAATTCCCCCAGCTGTGAGCCTTCCAACCTTCTAAATATTCCTTTATATGTGGTTCAGAGTTCTGGGACCAGCCCCTGAGCCTGCTTGGTTGGGTATTCTGTGTTGTTGTTGGCGGAGCTCCTTTACTGCACTTCCACCCCATCCGCCATCTTGTTTGTTCTCTCTTCCAGGTTTTTAGAATTCTATGGAGCATAACTTAACATCAACAAAAAAGATATGTGTTAGATACACAACTGACAATCCCTTGAGTTGCTGAGAAATATCTCAGTCACAGCCATAGCCTTGTCCACAGCCTCACACCAGTTTTAGATTTATCCAAATCCCCGCCTATGGCCAGTCATTGTTACAAATGCACCCTCAGCTGCTGCTCACCCCTCCTCTGCCATTTTCCTGCCAGGCTCCTGGATTTCATCAGTGTGATGACCTATGACTTCCATGGCGGTTGGGACACCAGCACAGGACACAACAGCCCCCTGCACCAGGGTTCTGCTGACCATGGGGAATTAATCTACTTCAACACTGTAAGGCAGGAGTCATAAGTTAGGACTGGGAATCAGACATGGGGAGGAAACTGGAGAGGAACTAGCTTTGAACCGTAAGTTGAATGTTCCCCCAGGAATTTGCCATGAAATATTGGCGAGACAATGGGGTTCCCGCTGAGAAGCTCATCATGGGATTCCCCACCTATGGACGGACCATGCGCCTCACTTCTGCTGATGTGTCTGTGGGAGCGCCCATCTCAGGACCAGGGTCTGTTGGACCCTACACACGGGAGGCTGGCTTTTGGGCCTACTATGAGGTAACTACCTCTGGGAAAGGCAGCAGTGGGCCCTCAAGTTGGCTAGAAAGTTGGACTGGATAACATCTGGGTTCCTTCATGTCTTAAGACAACTTTGCTATATGATTTTCCTAACTATCCCAAATGGAAATGAAAAACACTCCCCAGAGAGCAATGGAATCATCCTTGCTATGTCTAACCTGAATTACATAAGAGATAAACTTCTTTTAAGAAAGAATTTAAATCTCAAGTAAAAATGTAAAGTTTTAAAAATTGATATTTTAACAATTGTGAATAGATATAGGTAACTTTTTTTGAGAATGAAGTAATAGAGGAAAAGAAGGAGAAAAAAAATCAAATATTTAACTCAGTGTTGAAAGCTTTTATAAACCAATTTTGTAGGTAGTCTTCATATGGAGCTAAAAAGTATTACATTTAAGCATTTTATAATGATGTTGATCACATGTTATTCTATGATTAAAGTTGATGCTGAACTTTAGTCTGGATCCTGTGTGGTCCAGTATGGGAGGTGACATCAGGAGTTATCACATGGGTGACACTGTTCATGGAGGTCACAGCCTAAGTGGAAGAAGCAAAACCATTAAGAAAGAGTTAGTTATAGTATAAATTATGATTTGCACAGGAATAGGATTGCTAGCATGTGACTATTTAAGAATGATGTTCACCTCTTTTCGGAACGTCTCAAAGTCTTCCCCCATCTTGAGGATTTTGCTAACTTGCCTTCCTCTGATCAGATCTGCACGTTCTTACCTGAAGCTACCACCTCATGGATTGAAGACCAGAAAGTCCCTTATGCCTACAAAGGAAATGAGTGGGTTGGGTTTGACAATATTGAAAGCTATGAGCACAAGGTAAATGTCAGTCGATGGACCTTAAGATTACGTTGTAGTGTCTCTGTCCTTGGAAAAGTCACTGTGTATATGGCAAGAGCCCTAGGTGAGAGGCAGGCAAACCCCAGTTGTAGTCAGAGATTGATGACTGATTCACTGTGATTTTTAAGTCAATAACTCTCTTCCTAATCCTCAGTTTCCTACTCTGTAAAACAAGGCAGTTAGAATGGATGATTTCTGAGGTACCTTTCCTATGTTCTTATAAAACATATATGAAATATGTATGAATACAGACAAACACATACACATCAATAACAAAAGACTTATATATATATATGGAGCTCTGGTAGCATAGAGGTTACGAATCGGGCTGCAAACCTTAAGGTCAGCGGTTCGAAACTACCAGCCGCTCCGCGGGAGAAAGATGAGGCTTTCTGCTCCCGTAAAGATTTATATATAAGACTTATATCCTTAAGGTCAGCGGTTCGAAACTACCAGCCGCTCCGCGGGAGAAAGATGAGGCTTTCTACTCCCGTAAAGATTTACAC